CCATTAACTAAAAACAAAAACAATTTTCTATACATTTTACCAGTGTTTTTCTTTTCTTTTTTCTTTTTTTTTTTTTTTTTTTTTTTTTTACTTTCAATGGAATTTTTTTTTATAGGGCAAAGTGGAACATAAATTGACTTGCATGTTAGCTTAAAGTATTATTGACAATCTAGTCATAAAATTAGAAACAATGAAGGCTGTCTTCCAAACTATTCAAATGGAAAAATGTTATGCTCAACTTGATTTTTGCATATTAAATCTATGAAAATTTTCATAAGACTTTAAATTACTTAAACTGTTGATTCAAATTTTGACTCAAAAACTTTGACAGACTAAAAAATTCAACTAATGTTGATACGAACAATATAAAATAAGTTTTATGTTGCTGAACTATAGACTAATAAGCAAATGTCCTTTATATCACCCCCAAAAGTTGGTTTTACACTCCCATAATATATACATGGTTACTTTCTAAAACAGACACAAGTAAATAAAATTGGAAAAAATCTTGCTTATGAGAAATTTTATGAAAAAGTCCAGAATTCACTTGATTATAGTCAATCAACTACAACTCAAAATATAATATAGTAGTTTTAAATCTAATGCTGCACTAATGAAATATTATATCTACAACAAAGATGCACACTATCTTTTGATCTATTCACAATATAGACTCCATTCTATGTTCAAATAAATGTCATACTTTCATTGAACCCTAGTTGAAACAGAGTGTATCCAATAGAAATGATAAAGATATAAGTCCAGATATTATTCACCATGAAGAATGTGTTAATCATGAATGTTTAGCCTGGAACATGGAATTTGAGATTTTAAAAGGTTTGCGTTATTGTTACATATGTCAAAAGTTTCTTTTGATGGGCTAGATTTGTTCCACCCATTGAGAATAAAGCTCTGGATTCAATAGACTGAAGTGAGAGAGAGAGAGATGATTTAACCTAATAAAAAGACAGACACTTAGATGCTCTGAACACAGACCTGCCCTATTGTATCAGAGCTTGCCATGGTTAGGCTGAAAGTTCCATGTTAGGTAGTAGACCAGGAAGCTGGTGCTAACAGATCTCTGAGTTCTCTTCTGAGTTACAGACTCTTTCATGATAAGGGTAGAATGAGGTAAAAACAGGGTTTCTCAGGACCAGAGCCAGAAAAGGCTGTTCTTACTTAACTTCTCTATAAACACTCTGCATAAAAGGATAAATAATTGAAATTATGTATGCTACATAAAGAATTCTTAGCTTTCAGCCTCAGCACCCCTGCACACAGACTCAAACACTCATACCTACTACCCTAGGGAAATGGGTTTTTATCTTTGTCCCCTCTCTCTCAAGAACACCAGGTCAGTATACAGAGATGGTCAATAAGCCATTAGTATATGACCCTATAAGCGAGACAAATGCAAACAACAGGGAAAATTTGAAATTTTGAAATTGAAAACTTGAGAAAGTTTCATTCAACCTTTGTATTTCCACAGTATCTGGAATCCCACATATCTGCAGAGAAATAATGAAATCTATACGGAGGCCACCAAAAGGGCAGAGGGACAAAGGGTGGTCACTTGAGATCACACTAAAATACTGACTCTTTGGTCTTGAAGAGCTCAGGGAGTCTATATAAAAATATGTTAGAACCGCTTGCTGTTTGGAGGATGTGAACATAAATTCCAAAAGGTTAGAACCATCGGAATCTCTTTAAACTTTAATGAGTCAAGTTTAGGGCAAATAAAAAGATGTATACCTTCACAAACCATGTTACTTTCTCAAGAAATTATATGCACAGGAAATCCCTAAAGGATTTTTCAGTATTTAAAGTCCTATTTCATAACTGCTAAAAAAGGTTGAAGTATGCCCCAACTGTCTGACTGTGTCATGGAGGATAATCTTGCCTTCCACCGTGATCTTTGACTGACTCCTGTTGATGATGCCTACGCTTACTTGGAGTAAATGGTACCTAACAAAGAATATATCTCCTCTTACAAAAAATATTAAAATGTTGCTGGAATCAACATTTAATTGTTTTATTTGATCTGATATTTTTTTCTGTGTTGAAATTTGAATCCTCACTAGCATTTGATTTGGACTTTAACTAGCATCACAGGAGAGTTAGCATTAGAAAAATAGATCCAAGATATCAGCTATATTGAAGAAAATTGTATTTGTTTCTCTATCTCTCTCTCTCTCTCTCTCTCTCTCTCTCTCTCTCTCTCTCTCTCTCTCTCTCTCTCTCTCTCTCATCTTCTCTCTGCTGTAATGAGGGAATCCTCCAAAGTACCTGGAATGCTTCCTTCTCAAAGTCTCCATGTTAGGAAAAGCCTGAGAGACCCCCAAAGCATGATCGTGTTCAAATGTGTCATCAGCTAACCAGCCTCCTCCTCAACTGAAACTTGTGCATACCATTGCTAAAGATTTCTAAATCAACTGTATCTTGCTTGTATAATATTTCCCTCCGACTTGGAGGTCTCCCTCCGACATGGAGATTTAGCTTTCCCCATGAGTCATTTTAGACTTCAGTTTTCGTTTAGTTGCTCATCATCCCTCAAGTGTGTGCATGAAAGCGATTTTCTAGATATCTTACACATATCATAAAGTTAACTAAGAATACTGTGTTTGCATTCATTTACCAGGTAAAACACTGAAGTAACATTCTTAAGAAGGGTCTCCCTAGTGCTGGACACAAGAAAACAGCCACATGCCACATGTTTTCCAGGAAGTACAAAATGTCATCCAAGAATTAGCAAGTGTGTTCTTTGTGTTCTATGTTGTGTCATTAAAAAGTAAAAATATTTTTTCAGTAATTTAGGCCACGGATTGAGTGATTTTAGCTGTTTTTCTATGGGCGCTTTTGTTTTTAAAATTATCCTGTTTCATGAAATATCCCTTTTAAGAAAAATGAACACTCAGTTGATGTTCCTATGACTTTCACATATAAAATCAGAAATTTCATAGTTGTATGCAATTTCAGAACTGATGTAGTTTATCTGTATGTTCTTTATTATAAAGTAATAAGTATAACAAATAATACAACTATGTTTCCTGTGTTGATTGTCCCTTATCAAAATATGTGCTGAAGAACAGATATTTAAGAGAAAATAGTTTCTATCTGCATTTTCTTCCCAAGAAATGATATAAAACTATATTTTAGGCTGTTATAAATCTTGCAATGGAAGTTTATGAATTTAAATTCTATTATCAGCAAGATATACATTAAGTTCACTAGTAGGGCTACAAAATTGAATTTTAGATTCCATATTAAATTGTAACACCACAATCTCAGTGAAGCATTTTAATCCAACATTGTATGTCAGGGAGAATGTCAGCAGACTAGAGCTTATTTTCTGCTGTTGCAGTGACAATCTCTCTCAAGATTTTTGTTGTTAACATGGTGTGTCCTGTACCTCTGAGCTTTTGCTAACAGAGACATTGTTACTTAGAAACACATTTCAATACAGAATGTGTTTTTCCTTCATCAGTGCAGCACAGAGCATTGCTAGGGACAAAATTCCTGTTAAACGAACATGAATTTAGGTTTGCCAGCTGAGTTAGCAGAACCCACAGAAAGACTACTTAGTTTTGTCTATAGCCTCTGTTAATCAATGCCATGTCGTCTAATGCCTTAGAGGAGAATATCTTTATTTTTCTCTTTTCAAGGAACCTTTTGTGACCATATAAGACTGAACCAATTTATTATGGAAGGCCATTTTTAAAATATTCCCTTTAATTCCAGAATATTCAAAGATATGGGTTAAGTATTCTGTCATGTGATGATGGATGGTGTTCTTTTCTTTTCCTTCCTTTTTTTCACTTTTGAGAATTTTCTTTTCAGATCTCTCTTTGGTAACATAGTTCTGTTTTTATCTCAAGAAGGAAAATATCTTCTAATTATAAGGTGCTTCATAAAGTTAGAAGATGTTAAAACCTCGAAGAGATTTTTACTATCCTAGTTAAGCTAAAACAAAAATGTAAATATAAAATACTTTGAAATTACTCTAATAAGAAATGTTCAGAATCTATAAGGGAAAATGGTTAAATCTTCATGTAAAGACTAAGCAATATAAATACCTCAGTTTCTCCTAAAGTAATTTATAATCTAGTGCCATTCCTGTTAGGATCCTGTTGCTTTAATTTTGTGTTGTTTTTCTGAAGCAGGCATTGGTCAAAGTTATTATAAAAATCTTTGAGGGTGGAGGAGGAACAACCATAAAAGGCCCAAAAAGACTTTTTGGCAAAAGCCATACATTGCAAAGCATGAGGAGATTAATCCAGGAACTAATAGATGATGAAAGAAAGATCTAGTTTGAAAATAGCATTGACTGTTTGGGGATGGGTCATTTTGTTTTCTGAGATCAAGTGACCAAAAGACACTATGATGGAGACTGCTAGTGATATTCCACATCCATGTCCCTCTTTATCTCCCAGCCTCCTTTGCAGTTAGGATGCGGTCATGCCAAGGTCAAATCGATGTATACAGAAATGATGGAAGCTGCTTCCGCACTTGTTCTTGGAAACATCCTGCATAATCCACCAAATCTCTCTCCTGTTGCCCCTTATGGCTGTGGAGGTCATGTGTTCCAGGTGACAGCTGTACTCTGCAAGAGCTTGTATCTTAGTCACTCCTTCTTCCATAGCACCTGCCACAGCACCTTCTGCAAGCTGCCTGGCCAATGTCAACTAGAGGCATAGCAAAACATAAACATCAGTTGCATTATTTGTTTTAACTGAGTCAAGACAGGCAGGTAAAAATGGTAGACCTGTGTATACCCGCATTCGACAATCAACTTTTGCCTTACTTAACTCTTTAAATTAAACATTAATTGACAATTTAATTTAAATGTATTATTAAAAAGAAGCTGTGATATGTTTTGAAGAAAAGGAAATGAATAATTGTCAAATCACATTTGGGCAAAATGTTCCAAACAAGAAAATAAAAATAATTTCAAAGGAAAAAAAAGACGATTTGATTGACATTCTTTTCCTCTTCTCTATTAGGTTTTCCAGGGCAATTTTGACAACGACACCCACAGAAAAAATGTCATCGACCCTCCCATCTATGCACGACACATAAGAATTCTTCCTTGGTCTTGGTACGGGAGGATCACATTGCGGTCAGAGCTCCTGGGCTGCACACAAGAGGAATGAGTACACTGCACACCCCACAACCCTCTTCTCTGTGTCCCCAAAAGCATCTCATTGGAATGGACTGTGCAAACCTGTAAGAAGCTGAATGGGTTGTTTTTTTTTCATGAACAAAGTGCTTAAATTATGGTAGGCCATTAAATTGTCTTCTTCAGGAGGTCTAAGCCTGCCTTTTCAATGATTTCATTTGATTTTATTGGTCAAATATCTTAAGTAACGTCACATTAACTGTGAATTGCTTTTTTCATTGTTTTCTGAATTATGCACCTTGGTTGAAATATATTAGGGAAAAAAGTAGCCTTCTATTTATAGCAAGAGCAAAAAAAATAATCTCAAAGTCATCAAACAAAAGCAAGAGTTGATAGGAGTTTTACAATCAATGCTTTAGCTAACTCTTATAAAAAGAATACTGCAAGGTTAGCAATAAGTTTTTTTTTTTTCCTTCTATAACAACTTTACATTATCCTGTTTTCCTGTGCCTCACAAACACGGTCAGTGTTTATAACAAAATTTTGAAGAAGAATCTGTAACATGCAGTACCACTTGATATTATATTTCTCATTTTACTTTCATTATTTCTAATCAGAGATTAAGTGACGTTATTTTCCCTTTTGGTTCTTTCTGTCTTTATATTGTGCATTGCCTGAATAAGTTAATATTTTTTTCTAATTGAATTTTTTCCTGTTAGTTGCCTAAAAGAAGTGTCATGTGTATCTATATAATCAGAACATGATTGAATAGCAGTAGATTGATCTGTTTTTTATATCAGTAGATTAAGTCTATAGTTTTATTTTTGAAGGAAGCTGTAACTATGTAATTTCCAAATACTTCCTTCATTAAGTATCTTCTTATACTACCAGTTTTCAAAAAGAAACAACCAAAAAAAATGTATGTTTCTTTAAATTTAGATCTTCATTTTGATGGCATTTACATAGCCTTATATTTACCTTAAAATAATAGACTCATGAATTCTTTATCTATTTTTTAAAAATTTTAGCAAACAAATATTAACCCAGTGTTGCATAGCTGGCCAAGCATACTCGTTATTTCTTTGTTCATTTCCACATTTCCTGTGAAACTAAGATTTCATTGAGATTTGAAACTGCTGTGGTTTCCCAGGAAGCACAATGTGTAGTTATTTGTGAGAAGTAAAATATTTACCAATGACAAAGTCGTAAACCATTTCAAGATGAAAATTGATTTCTATTTATTTTGCTTCAAAGGTTCTGAAAAAATAAGCAATTATCATAACAATTTGTTATTGATAATGGAGATTTCATTGACATGTCTCTCAAATTAAAGCTCACACTGGCTCCATAAAAGTCTTCAGCATCCAATTTATATGCCTTCCAAGTATTTATTTTATAAGGCTTAGACAGACTTATTGGAGTTTTAAATGAAGGGTCTTGGAAAAGAAAGGATGGTATGTGTACGAAATATTAAGGCCCTACACAACACTGCTAGTTATTTTTTTGTTTGTTTGTTTGTTAATCTTTGATATTTGTGCTGCAGATCAGAAGCCCCTAGACTGTTACTGTCTTGTCTGTCCACGTGTTAACAGCATTTCTTGATGATGTATATGTGGAGTTATCTTCAACCATAGTGAAGAGTTTAAAGAGAAAGTCAATCATATTGGCATTTTTAATAAGAAAAACTTAGTGGGTCTACAGAATTGACTGGCCACACATGAGTGCCATGCCCACATGCTATGTACTTTATTATAAGTTCTTATTATGAAATTATTGACTGAAAGCTTCCAAAATGGTGATCAGTTTTCAATATCTCTTGAAAACAAAATTGCTATGTCCTCAAAAATACCTTTTTATGATGAATTTAAAGGGAGGGTTTAATATCTTTAGTTGGTTAAATTTTAATGTCATGTGACAAAAAAATTACTTAGATTCAAAAGTATACACACACTTACTCTCTAGCCGATGGCACTTATTTCTTTCAAGAGTACTGTCTCACTGAAGGTACTTATTTCTAGCCATTTTACTTTGCAGGTTATGCATGATTTCTCATTCTTAAAGAGTGTAACTTTAAAATTACGAGTAATGGTTTGTGATGATTTAATTTTTTGAAATTATTTATGTTCATATGTTTTGAATTTTTTCCATTGATAATTGCTTTAAAAATATTTTACAAGAGACTTGCTTGAAATTATACCTGCTACCTTTGAGAGCAAGACATTGAAATGGCTTTCTTTTGCTTTTGCATTTCCTCTCCATTCTATATGTTCTCCCCAACCGCATGTCCAGTGGAATGGCTATTGCCCAAAATTGATGACAGCAAAGGAATTCCCACATGGAGAAATCTTGAAAGTTATTGTGGAGTAGTATTATGAAATAGCTTTTGTGTCACCTGTATCAATGGCATCAAAATGAAGCAAATTTATTCTATTTAATTCCATTAAAACAAAGTATCATCAACCAAATACACAGAAGAATCACCTAGTCTTCACCCTATTAAGTAACTGTAATATGCTAGTTTTATAAGTTATTAAATTAAAATGTTAATCATCTCCATTTTATATACATCATTTTAAAACATTCATCATAGTTACAAATTTTAATTTTAGGATTGACTTTCTCTTCTTGAATGACTTCATAAAAATTGCTGTGAATTTTGAAGATTTGGGGGTACTAATGATTGTATCATTGCTAGTCAACAAATTATGAAACATAATACTCAATGCTGGTGTCTGATGTGTTAATAAGTACAGAAATAACTAAGACACAAATAACCTTTGCAAATTTTCAAGCTGTGTAATATTCCAATGTTGGTTTTTTCTTTGTATATATACTTATATCATGTAGGATGTTGTAAAATCAGTATGACCTTGTCTAGTCTTCAAACTTAGAAATAAAACTTTGGAAAATCTGGGATACTTTGGGAGCAGTTGTAATTAAACACATTTGTGAAAATACATAAATTGTCTGAATGTGAATACTCACCACTCTTGACCACACGCTTGGTTTATCTTTTTTTTTTTGTACAGAATAATTAAACAGATACAGTAGTAGCCTCCAAATGTATATTTATATAAGCTCTGTTAGCCTTTCTAAGATTATTAAAATGTGAACATCCCCCTTGCTCCTTTTAGTTGTGGAAAGTTTACTAGAGTATTCATAACCCAAAGTCATTTTGTTGCCTCACATTTAAAGTGTTGTATATCAGGACTGATCTGCCCATTGTTAATCAGCTGATATTGCTGTTGTTTCTATTGTTTTCTCAGTTCATTATGCTCAGGAGTATAATGAAGAGATCCTGTCAGTAGTAAATAATAACACAACACTAATAATATATTTGTTCTTGTCACTTCAACCATTACTTAGTGAAAATCATAACATGTTACTTCTTCATAAATCTTGTTTCTGGCTCTCTGATACGGATGAAATATTAAATCTGATACTTCCCACTTTCTTGACATTTTCTTACATGCAAAAAATTTAGGGAAAAAATTTAAATAGTAAAAGTTTATTTCTTATTAGCGTTTCAGTGGATCTCTGATAGATCTCAGTACTGACTTATCATATATGTTTATGTATTTGTATGTCTTTCTACTTCAACTGCATTTTAATATGAGTGGTTCCGTGGAATTCTGTTGTTTATATAGTTGTATACACACACACAAACATACACAAATGTGTTCTTATTAAATTAAAACAAGGATTCATATATATTTTGTGTATGGCTAATAAGGAATCTTGATAACATCTATGCAGGGTAAAAATGTAATGTGACAGCAGAATAATTGTTCAACAGAAAATTTTCAACTATAAGGCTTTTAAAATTATTGATTCAAAATGCAAACATAGTAGAAACATTGTGAATTCCAAGAAAGAAATCCTGACCAGATTGAAATTTGTCTTTCAAAAAATTATTACTTTGTGAATGAAAAATATTATTTTCATATAACCTAAAATATCTACCACTTCAACTTTGAATATATGACTTTTAAGTAAAGATCTTGATAAAGAAACATTAATTTGTAGTGGCAGAAATGCAGTGCTCTCTTATCTCTCCTCCCAAAGGCTAATCTTAAAAAATTAATAATCAATTCAGTGTGTTATTTGTTTTGGAAACCTCACCTCTAGCCTTTAAGATGCAGAAGAACTCTCTGAGCAGATAGAGCAAATAGAGGATTAAACCACTTTGCTATTTGAGAAATGTTTCAACCTCCCTGAAACAGAATACACTGTCATTTGTCTTTACAAATACAAAGAATACCTAGTATAAGTAGCAATTTTCCTATTGATTTTGAAGGGGGAAAAAGAATTTCTTCATTCTATTGCAGTAAATGCCTATAATTCATATTGGATGTTTCAACATTGCCACCAAATAAAGTGTTTTCCACAGTATGCAAGTGGCACCTACTCAAAGAGTTATTTCTATTAGATGAATTTGGTAGCAGAAATGGGAAAACATTCTTGGAAAAGGCTCCTCATTTAGTCGTTTTGCATAGCTTGGCAGAAGTTGATGGAGTCATTTAAAAACACAAATGCTTTGGAAATATGGTGCATGCTTTGGAAACATGGTGTATTAGTCCTCAGCAAATGGTCACCATATTTCATGATGAAGCATTGCATATGGTGCCTTCCTCTGCATGAATCTTATTTTAACATCCTTGATGCCACGAGCCACACTCTTCCATACTGATGTAAAATCTCCATGGTGGCCCTTCATGGGCCCACATGTGAATATATGAATAATGACACTACAATGTGGTGTAAGGTCAACCTGCTGCCTCCTGTAAGGGGAGGGTTGGCAGCAGGACTGATGGTGCCTTCAGATGGGACATCTTCCGTAGTCAGTGTGGAAGCAGCTTGTGGTGGCTTCTGTGAGCACCAGGCTGAAGCACTGCTGGTACTAACTAAAGGACAGCTAGGAATAAACATGATGGTTGAGGCATGTATCCAGTAATGAAGGACAGAGTAGCATATCACACATGGACTTACAGAGGTTTGACCATGGTCTCACTTTTGGGTGATTACATTGCAGGGATTTAAGTTTAAAAATAATTTTAAAAGGCTTTGTCTTTCAGGAGGAGCACCTTGGAAGGCTAGTGGCCCTGGGAGACATGACTAGCACAGATCTCTTCAAGGCCAAAGGCATTTTCCAACTGGTCCCAGAACAGGGAAATTGAACAAAGAGGTAAAAAAAAATGACCAACCAGAAAGGAAGTATGGAATAATCAACCATAAGCAGCTTTGCTTCCTCAATTCTTAAGTTTCTTGGGTAAAAATATTTTAAAAAAAATTTTTTTTTTTTTTTCATTGGAGTCTCACTCTGTCGCCCAGACTGGAGTGCAGTGGCCGCTCCCAGCCACGGCAGCCTCGACCTGCTGGGCTCCAGCGATCCTTCTGTCTCAGCCTTCTGAGTAGCCGGAATTACAGGCATGCGCTACCACACCTGGCTGATTTTTTGATTTATTGTAGAGATGATGTTTCGCCAGTTGCCCAGGCAGGTCTCGAACCTGCAGGCTCAGGCAATTCACTCACCCCGGCCTCCCAAGGCGCGGGATTACAGGCTGAGTCACCGAGCCTGGCCTTAAAAATTATTTGTTAACAGCAGAAGCATCTCTGAAATAAAACCGGAAAAATAAAAAAGCAAAAAACAAAAAAATCTCATTTTAAATGATGCAAGTACCTTGATAAGATACGGGATGTGGACTGAGACTTCAAGAGCTTTGTTCAAACAATAGTGAAATAATGTTTTTCAAACTGCTAATGGAGAAAACTTAGTGGGTCAGAATTAGTATTTTTTAAATTAAATGCATTAGTACAAGACAAAGGAGGGAGGGGTAAGGATGGGAGGGAGAGAGAAATGACTCCACTGTAAAAATCATTTGCAAAACTTTCAGTTATCTTACTGAGTGTGTAAGTGTTCTCGATCACAGTATAAATTATTTTTCTAACTCTGCCATGTCACTGTCATAGCACCAGTCTCTGAACTGCTGTCTAAATGGGTGGTGCCTGCTAACACTGGGCTTTAGAATGCTGGGTGACCGATGTGAGTTTAGACTCGGAATTAGATGCATCTTGTCTATAGGAGGCTGGGAGAGGCTTGGAAGGAAGAGAGAAGATACACACTCCTGGAGGCCCGAGAGAAAATAAATAAAGATATTAAACACAGGCATGTGTTAATTTTTTCTGTGTGGTGAGTAATGACCTGAGGGTGGGCTTGCAGCAGGGGTCAGGGCTGCCTGGGGACCCGCCACTCTGGGTTCATTATAACACAGGCCCATGAGTTGTTTCTGTATATTTGTCTTAATAAACTTTGATGCATTTTAAGTGGATTTTTCTACCATTGCTTCTGGTTTAAAAATTCGTAATCTAATGCCCCCCACACACTCATCCTAACCTTCTAAGTCTGTATTATAGAAACTTATATTACTAATTCCTTGCTCTAGGGCTGTCCCACTCAAACCTTATATCACAGACATTTGTGTCTTCAAATCGTAGCAGTAGGCTGCAATACAGGTCCTAGAAAATATGCATATATTCCTTCACTTTTGCTGCAGATGTAAAGGAAAGGTAATTTCTTTCAGAAATAATACAATGGAGAAACTGCTCTGCTCATCTTAAGAAAATATTAAGATTATCAAACTTTTTTGTCATTAATCTTTTTTTTTTGTCAGCAAAATTTAAGTATCTATTTTGTGCCAGCCACTATTAATGTTCTGGAAATAGAGAGATGAAAAGATTCTGATTTTCAGGAATCACAGTATAGAGAGAGGGGCAGAGCGGGTAGATGAGAAAGCAGGCAATCACAATGGATGCTTCCACAAAAACATGTTCCATGTAAAACAAAATAGAACAGAGGCAGCTGTGCTGCTCAGGGAGGCAGATCAGAGAAGTCATCCTGAAGGATACACCAAAACCATTCAATTTAATGTTTATGACACCCAAAACATCCAACTTACTACTCATCATAGCTCTAGGAAGAATGGATTAGCATGTTTGCTTTGCAAGTGGACAAAGAGAAGTCGAGAGAGGTGAGGAGATGTTCCCTGGTAATGAAGCTGTGATCCAAGGACACCCTTCCCCAGTTCAATATTTTTCTTCTTCCTTTGCATCGAAGGGCACTATAGTATTTTCATTATAGGAACCAATACAAGAGCAACAGGAAGATCAACCTCCAGCCAAGGGGCCACTAATTGTTTATTCTTCAGCATTTCATATTGTCTTAAATGATTCAACACACCAGTATTACCTGATAACACACATTTGAAAAGATCAGCCAGTGAGTGAAGTGTTGATCATCACATGAATATATTTTTTAAAATCAATAAATGACCGAACAGCTAGTGAACTACTGTGAGATATGTGATAGGATTAATTTCTTAAAAGGTGAGTAATAAACCCAGGTTGTCAAAACATATTCTATTCTAATACACGGTGCATGGGGCTGTCCCCATGCAGAGAACATGAAATCTTTAATACATAATTAAATTATATTGAAGAAAATTTTAAAATATTGGTCTATATTTAAGAGAAACCACAGGTATTTCTATTAAAAAAAAAAACTCCAAAGAATACAAAGAAAATACAGATACCCCATCTTGAGTTCTAACTCCCAACATTAAAGCATTACCATTTTCTCATGATGTCATGGAAGTAGAGAGTAGAATGGTGGTCACCAGAGACTGAGAAGGGTGGGTAGGTTGGGGGAATGAAGAAAGGCTGATGAATGAATACTAATATGCGGTCAGATAGAAGAAATCTGATCTGATGTCCCATAGCAGAGCAGGGTGATTACAGTTAACAACAATGTATTGTGTATCTCACAACAGCTAGAAGAGAGGACTTGAAATGTTTCCAGCACAAATAAATGATAAATGCTCAAGGTGATGGATACTCTAAATACCCTGACTTGACTATTACATATTGTGTGCATGTTTCAAAATATCACATATATCCCCTGAACATGTACAAATATTTTATGTATACATTTAAAAATTGCAAC